ATGCCAGTAGATGGGAGATAGATCCCATCCCTCAAGGGGAAGAGCAGCATGTGGACGCAGGATGGGAGGGGTTGTTGGCACCGTCCTGCCACACCCAGGCCCCGTCAAGGTTCACATGTCTTACTTGGTGTTATACCTCTTTAGTCTCTTTTGAATTAGCAACTTTCCCTCACTTTCCCCCTCCTCTTCTGGACTTTAGTTTTTGAAGGGTTGAAGCCAATTGTTCCATAGGCTGGATTTGCCTTATTGTTTCCTCATGATGTCCTCTAATTTCTGAATTTCCAGTAAACTGCAAGATGGGACAAAAGACCTGATTCAGATTAAACATTACTTTAAAAATATTTTGTACCCATTGATGATCCTTATGTTTTACAATGATCATCTTTTGCCTGGACAGGATGATAATTTTAAAATCTAAGTCAGATCAAATCATTCCTCACCCAGAATCCCCTAAAGGGTTCTCACTCATTTGCTGAAGTCCTTAAAATGGTCTAAAAGGCCTACCTAACCCTCCTACCCCATCTATGACCTCACTTCTTCCTCCTTCCCCTAACTCTCTCTCCTCCTGCCACACTGGCCTCCCTGCCCTTGTTTAAACTCACCAGACATATGCCAGCCTCAGGGCTTTCCCTCTTTCCTCAGGTATTGGTAGGACCTGCCCCTTAAGGGCCTCTCTCACATGGCACCTTCTCAGTGAGCCTTCCTTGGCCACTCTATTGTATCCCACCCCACCTCTAACCACGCACTCCCTATATTAGTTTCCTGTGGCTGCCATAACAATTTACCACAAACATGGTAGATTTTTAAACAACAGAAATTTATTCTCTCACAATTCTAGAGGGCAGAAGTCTGAGATTAAGGTGTCAGCTGGGCTGTGCTCCCTCTAGAGGCTCTAGGAGAGATTTCATTGCTTGTCTCTTCCAGTTTCTGGTGGCTCTAGGCATTCCTGGGCTTGGGGCTGCATCACTTCGATGTCTGCCTTTGTGATCACATGGCCTCCCCCTTTTCTCTGTGTGTGTGTCTCTCTCTCTTTAAAGTGTACAGTTCAGTGGCATCAAGTACATTGACAATATTGTGAAACATCTCCGGAACTGTCTCATCATCCCAAACTGAAACTCTATACCCAGTAAACAATAACTCCCCATTCCTCACCTTCCCCCAGCCCATGGCTACCACTATTCTACTTTCTGTCTCTATGATTTTGACTACTCTAAATACCTCATATAAATGGAATCATACAGTATTTGTCCTTTGTGATAGGCTTATTTCACTCAGCGTAATGTCCTCAAGGTTCATCCATGTGGTAGCTAATTACAGAATTTCCTTCCCTTTAAAGCTGAATAATATTCCATCGTATGTAAGTATCACATTCTGTTTATCTCTTGTCTGTTCATCCATTGATGGACATTTGGGTTGCTTCCACCTCTTGGCTGTTGTGAATAGTGCTGCTATGAACGTGGATGTGCAAATACCTCTTCAAGATCCTGCTTTCAGTTGTTTTAGAGATCTACCGAGAAGTGGAATTGGTAGATCATATGGTAACTGCCATACTATTTTCTATAGTGGTTGCAACATTTTATATTACCACGAACGATTCCCAAGGGTTCCAGTTTCTCTACATCCTCACCAATGCTTGTTTTCTGTTTTTTTGTGAGGAAGTCTGGCCATGAGCTAACATCCGTTACCAATCTTCCTCTTTTTGCTGAGGAAGATTGGCCCTAAGCTAACATCTGTACCCATCTTCCTCTATTTTGTATATGGGATGCCTCCACAGCATGGCTTGATGAGTGGTGCATAGGTCTGCACCCGGGATCCGAACCCGCAAACCCCAGACCAACAAAGCGGAGGGTGTGAACTTAACCACTATGCCACCAGGCCGGCCCCTGTTTGTTTTTTTGATAGTAGCCATCCTAATGGGTGTGAGATATCTTTTTTCTCTTATAAAGAGACTTGTCATTGGATTTAGGGCTCACATGAATAATCCAGGATTATCTCATCAAGATCCTTAATTACATTTGCAAAGACCCTTTCTTCAAGTAAGGTCACATTCACAGGTTCCAGGGACTCGAACATGGACGTTTTTTGAGGGCCACTGTTCAACCCACTATACTTTCCTGTCCTCTTCCCTGCCATATTTTTCTCCTTGACAATCTCCATCTGAGATGCTATATATTTACTTATTTGTTTATTGACAAACAATAATCAAGATAAATCCATTAGAACAAGAATTTTTGTCTGTTTTCTTCACCAGTGTGTTCCCAGGGTTTAGAACAGTGCCTGGCACAAATGGCTGCTCAGCAGATATTGGTTGAATGAATGAATGAAGGGGTAGCCAGCCTAGATAAACGTTGGCAGAAACTGCCCTACCATCTTTTAAGGGGAAAAGTTTTGGGGCCCAAGGATTAGATGACCTAAAACAAGGTTTCTACTGTGGGGATGCAATCTCTTTAAGATTACTCATCAATTAGGACAAATTTCAGGTCCTCTTTAAGAAAAAATACAAAATTAGAAATATAAATACCATTTCTCACTAAAGTGAATTAGGATTCCTGGGATAAATGGCTGATTTTGTGTCTAGGGCAGGAAATGAACAAAATGGAAAGCAAGAAAGCCCCTAAAGACTAGTAGAATTGTGACAAAAGGGCACAGGAGAAACAATGTTTTATGAGCCAATTTGAACATTAAAAAAGGGGTAATGATTATAATGGATTGAAACACATTTTGTTTTACTCTAAGTCCTCTCTGGCTCTAGATTTACCTGTTTACAGGATATACCAGGGACAGAGAAATGTTAAATGACACATGAAGATACCATCAGCCAAATCCAGAATGTGGAAAAATCTATTGGTCACATGATCCAGTTGCTTCAGTAAGTAAATGACATCATCATCATCAACAACAAAAAGGGAAGGAGAATTGTTGTATGGTATGAGATTTTGGAGATATATCAATGAATGCAGCAAGTAGACCTTGCTTGGACCCTCATTAACAATCTAAAGTTTTTGAGACAATGGGGGAAATTGAATATATACTAAGTATTAGATGACATTAAAGAATTATGTTTAATTTTGTTGGGTGTGCTCATGGTATTTTTTAAAGTCCTTATCTGTTAGAGACACACTGAAGTATTTATAGGTGAAATGATATGATGTCCGGGATTTTAACAAGAAAGGCAAAAAATTGATCATTGTTGAAGCTGCATGATGAGTATATGAAAGTTCATTGTAACTATTCTTTTGTGTGTCTAGAAATTCTCAATAAAAATTAAAAACAGAGTTTCAACCTTCCTTTGCTCTAATTCCATGCCCAATAAGTAACTTTCTGGTTTGGTTTTCATCTTCCTCTGTCCCACAAAATGGGTGCTGTAACTAGAGGATGTCAGCATGCCCCATGACCCTAATCATTCTGACTTTTCCTCCTACTTCTCTTTTCCTCAGTTTTCTTAGCCCAGATTGTCAGTCTCACGTTGTACCAGTTTGTTCAAAGGAGGGAGGGAGGAGAATGATGCAGAGAAGCTTGCCAAGGGAGAGGTGGGCAACAGCAAACAGGTCAAGCCACTTAAACCTGAAGACTGTCCCCACCGTGTTTGGACAGAGATCAAACTGTCCACTGACTACTGAATATGGCAGAGATTGTGTCTTGTCCATTCCATTGGACAAAAGTTGAGCCAAACGCTAATATTTAACAATTGAGAGATTTCATATCAAAACCCAAATTTCCAGCTTCCTTTTTTGTTGTTCATCCAGCTTCTTAAAAGGAGATCTTAAAGAGGCTTTCCGTCCTCACCACAGAACTGCTGCTGCTCAGGGTGGCTTGCCTTGTAAAACTCCATTCTGTAATGCCCCGAGGATTTTTGTCTGCGTTCAATCCAAGTTCTTACCGGGTAAACAGCAGCATTTACAACACTAAGCACGCTAAGCAAAGTATTCCAGGGTTTATTTGTGTTTAGTAAAGAAGACTGGGACCCCACCCACAGTTCTCACGGGCCCATTGGAGCCATGAAGCGGGTTTCGTTCTGCTCAACATCTCGATCCACTCCGAGACCCAAATCATTGTAGGCCAGCAGAGACCTGCGTCCCAGCTGTGGATGAAAGCTCGAGTCGTGGTGACTGCATGTCCCAAATCTTCACCGCGGGGACAGTGAGCAGTCTGACAAGTTGACCGGTAGGGGTTGAGGGTACAAAGGAGAAGACGCTGCCAAGCCTCGGCCTTTAAGAGCAGAGAATACCAAAAAGTGGACATTGGGACCGTGACCCCCACCTTGTGCCCCCTGGTCAGCGCACCCACGTGACTTTAATGACTTTGGTCAATACTTCAGTACGTACCCCTAACAGGGAGGGTCAGAAAATCACCACACTGCAATACTGTGATCACATGCAACAAAACTAACGACTTCTCACTATCAAGACGGCACGTTCGTGTTGGTTTGCATTCCCGTCCAGGTAAGGCCCCCTCCTCCTCCGGTTACGGCCCCCAAAACCCGTGCCTGGGTCTCCTGCACCCCAAAAAGGGCGCTCGCCCGGCCGGGTCTCGGTAATGGCCCGTCGAAGCCCCGACTCCGTCTCTCCAGGCTGCGAGCGAACCCCAAGTCTGGCCGCCCCGCAGATCCGTGTTTCCAGATGTGGGGCGCGGAGTACCGCCTGCCCACCCCTCAGCGCTCCGAGATCCCCGCCCACCGCGCGGCCACGACCCGACGCGGCGCGCGAGGGGCCAGTGGCGAGAACATCTGCGCATGCGTACTCTCCGTCTGTTCGTGCTGCCCCGCCCAGTGAGAGCGGGGCGCAGGCGCGCGCATGCACTCTGGGTCAAAGGCACGCGTCAGTAGGGGCCCGACTGCGCACCGGGGAAGCAGGAGGGGATCCCCACCTCCCAACCTGGGCGTCTAGCGCATGCGTACTCTCCGCTCGGCTGTGCTGCGTGGCGGTGAAGACGGGCGCAGAAAGGGGTGGACGCAGGGCGGGCGTCACCGCGCACGCGCATTCTGCGCCCGGCTGTGTTGCGTCGCATGGGAGCGAGGCGCAGGCGCGCGCATGCGCGCCGGGCGAAGGGTGCGAGATGGCAGGTGTAGGGGGCGGTCGACGGCCGGTGATGGGGTGGCAGGCGCTGCTGCTGCTCGCGCTGTGCGCGGCGGGCGCCCGGGGGCTCTACTTTCACATCGGCGAGACCGAGAAGCGCTGCTTCATCGAGGAAATTCCTGACGAGACCATGGTCATCGGTCAGGCGGGGCGAGGGTGGACAGGGCCCTGCGTGTCCCCCCCGACGCGGCTGCGGCTCCCCGCTCCTGGCGGCGCCTGGAGGACGCCGGGCCGAGCAGCGCCCCCTGCCCGGCGCTCTGGGAGTGTGGGAGCTGGGCAGAACTGACGGGTTGTGACGGCTCTGTCTGCTCCGCAGGGAACTACCGCACCCAGATGTGGGATAAACAGAAGGAGGTCTTCCTGCCCTCGACCCCGGGCCTGGGCATGCACGTGGAGGTGAAGGATCCTGAAGGCAAGGTAGGGCCACCGCTGGCCGCCCTCCGCTGTGGCATCGGCGGCTTGCAGACTGCATCAGGCGTCCTTAACTAGAGCCCTCTGGGATGTACAGAGCTCAAGGGACATGCTCTGCGCTGGGAGAGGTCAGGGTACGGGGTGGGGGGCTTTCATTGACTGCTTTGTTGCAGGTGGTGCTGTCCCGGCAGTACGGCTCAGAGGGGCGCTTCACCTTCACTTCCCACACTCCTGGTGAACATCAGATCTGCCTGCACTCCAACTCTACCAGGATGGCTCTCTTCGCTGGCGGCAGGCTGGTAAGAGAATTTTTCTCTTTGGCAGCAGCAGGGAATCTCTCACTTGTTTCCAAAGTTTTGATTTACCACCGTCATCATTTGTGACACTTTGTGGCACAGTCACAATTGGGGAGACCGATGTTGCCCTTTAGCCCCACATCCAGGGACAAGAGTGGGTTCCAGAGCCTGGAACAGACAGTCAGAGGCCCCACCACTCAGACACCATAACTTTAGTGTTTCTGACCTGGTTGCTATGGGGCTCCAACCCTGTTTCCTTCTAGCGTGTGCACCTAGACATCCAGGTTGGGGAGCATGCCAACAACTACCCCGAGATTGCTGCCAAGGATAAACTGACGGAGCTGCAGCTCCGAGCCCGCCAGTTACTTGATCAGGTGGAACAGATCCAGAAGGAGCAGGATTACCAAAGGGTAAGAGCATATCTCTGTCCTTGGACATGGCAGTTGATTTTTATACCCACAACACTTACTGAAAGTTTCTGTTTGGGGCCTTCTCTGCTTGGGAAATCAGCTGTTCAGAGAATAGAGTGGAGAGATCAGTGTAGACAGCCATTTTTAAGCTCTGCAAAATAAAGTGAGGAGAAGACAGGTCACAATCTAGCCTAGCCATTGCCTGCCTGTTGACCTTGGCGTCTTCCTTGAAATGGTAGGAGCGTGATTTCTGTTCTAGCATATATGCTTGAGGAGGGGCAGTATATCACTTCCTTGGGGCACTCCCAATGGACTCAGAGGCAGTATTCCAGAAGGCATTTGGTCTCGAAGTTGAGTAGTCCCAAGGGAGGGAGGGGCCTCGAAACAGCTAGGACCATCTTTCCAGCACTTCTAATCCTGGGTTGTTATGCCACACAGTATCGTGAAGAACGCTTCCGCCTGACCAGTGAGAGCACCAACCAGAGAGTCCTGTGGTGGTCCATTGCTCAGACTGTCATCCTCATTCTCACTGGCATCTGGCAGATGCGTCACCTCAAGAGCTTCTTTGAGGCCAAGAAGCTGGTGTAGTGTTCTCTCTGAATGACCCTTCCCTCTTACCTCAACTATTTGGTACTTTCCCTGCCCAATAATACCTTATCCACCTGGATTTTGAGGGAAAAATGAAAAAAGAATATAAGCCACATTGGTTCCACGGCAACAAAGCATTCAGATCAGCCACTTGTTAACACTGGTTCTCAAGGACACAAGACATTGGTCCAAACTTGGAAAGGTCTGTTTTGGGATTTGGGCAGAGGCAGAACTGACCCAGGACTAAGTCTTGTTCTTTCACTTCCAGTGATTCCCCTCCATCCAGTCACAAAATGAGCAAATGAAAAATCTCTGCGACTCCTTTGACTTCCCCCTGTGTCTACATACACAGTGGGCAACTGAAATGCCCCACTCAGGAGGCCCCGCCTCACTGCTCCCCGGTCAGTCCTGGGTTCATTCAGTGGCTTTGTGAATGTAAATAAGGGGCAGGTCTTGGCCCCAGAGAATTGAAATGTTTTTCTATGTATTAGAACTATATTTTGATAAATTATATATTTTCCTTCCTAGTTGAAGTGTTCCTGCCTGTGTGTGACTAGCTGAAAACACCAATGTGGTCCCCTCTGCATTCTGTTTAGGCACACATTTTTGATAACTACCATGGCAGCTCTCAGGATGTCAGCAGTCTGTGGGCCAGAAAGCAGACATCACTGCTGCTCTCAGGGCCTTATCAGAGGGCCAAGCAGAGAATTCTCTGAGACGCCTGTGACTTCCATCACACAGGGCTTCAGAGTCCAAGTGAGGTAGTGGCAGAGCTGGCACGGGCAGGGCACTCTTATCCTCCCTCTCCCCTTCACCTTTATTTAAGCTGTTGTAAATGTTTTCATGGGAACCAGATTTGGTTCTTTATACAGATTTTTTCAGTGAAATAAAAGGTGTTGTAGTAGCTGTGTATGAAATGAAATAAGAGGTTGTGGGCAGAGGGGAGGCACAAAGGGAAAAGGAGGAAAGGCTCGTGGCCGGGACTGCCTCTGCAGCTGACCTGGAGTGGGCTCCAGCATGTGGCTCCCGAGGTAGGGTATGGCCTGACAGGAGTCTCTAAGGGTGTGGGAACGGACAGAGTGGTTGCTCAGCCATTCACCGAGGTCAGCCAAGCAGACCTGTCACCAAGGAATCGTGTGAGCAGATTAAATACCTGTTTCTCAGCCCCCCAGAATCAGAAATTTAAACAGATCTAAGTACACTTACCTCATGCTCTTCTGCTGTGTAAGACTTAATACCATTAATTGCCCATGCTTGACATTTTATTTCATGGTTTTATTTATTACATATTTATTTAAAATACATTATTTATTCTTTATCTGACCTAAAGAACTAAATTCTTCTGTTATTGTTCTTCTCTTTATGTCCTATGCTGTCCCATATACGTACCTATTTTTACTTAGAAAAATATATGCAATTTAGTTCTATAGGCTTTGTCATTTAACGTTTTTATAAGTATTTTTAAAATTCTACATATTCTTCATATTTCTCATTCTGGATGGCCATGTAACAATCCGATGAGGTGAAATGCCATAATTATTCAAAATCTTCAGATATTTAAAATAGCTTTCAGGGCTGGCCTGGTGGCATAGTGGTTAAGATCAGTGCACTTTGCTTTGGCAGCCCCGGTTCGCTGTGGCGGCAACCCACATAGAAAGTAGAGGAAGATTGCCACAGATGTTAGCTCAGGGCCAATCTTCCTCACACACACACACACACACACACACACACACACACACACACACACAAAGTAGCTTTCAGTTTTCTTCATGTTAGAATTAACACGGAAAATCAGATGGCCTTGGAACTAGTGAGCTGTGTGGACCTCTGGCCTGAGGCTCTTGAGGAGTATGGGACACATCAGGAAGAGAACACATTTCTCTTTGGCTTTTACTAGAAATCTAGCCAGCAAAGCACACACTGGAGCCTGGGCTGTGGGAGGACAGAAAACTACAGATAAGAGTTGGGGTGGCTTCAACAGGTCTATCCAACAGTAGACACAATTGAGGGCAGCTCAATTATGCCAATAGGTCAGTATGTCCTGCATTTCTCTTCTTGTGAATTTTTGATAGGAAAGGGAGTGGAGTAAGGACAAATGTGGCAGTTCATTACACCTTTACACTGATGGGGCCGGTGGCATAGCGACGGCCATAGGATGGGCCAACAAGTGGTGGCTGTGGGCAGGATTTCCATACTGGTGTGTGGTTTTCACAGATACATTATGGCTAAGAATGTTTTTTTAAAAAACAGTTCTGCTACATTCAAAGAATCCTGATGTTTTCCCCCCAATACTACCCTGACTCCATTCTGAAACGCTTGCTTGCTTAGACTATATAACATTCTTACCATACAGCCTTCTACCTCCTTACTACACACACACAAAAAAATAGGTGAGGGGGGAGCCATTCATTCTGACCCCCCAGCCCGGTCCCCAGCTCTATCTGGTCCCAGTCTCACTTTATCTGTGGTGCATGAACTGCTCTCTGTTCTCACCCTAACAACAAGAGCCTAGCCTCTAGTACTCTTGCTGGCCTCATGTCAGAACAGATGCATAGGGTCATCTGGGAAACTCATCAACATAGATTCCTGGGCAACACTCAGGTCCACTCTGATTAAATAGGCTTATGTTTGGGGTGAGGTGGTAGGCAGAATAATGGCCCCCCAAAGATGTCCATGTCCTAATCCCTGGAACCTGTGAATGTGTTACCTAACATGGCAAAGGGGAATTAAGGTTGCTATCAGCTGATTTTAAAATCAGAAGATTATCCTAGATTATCTGGGTGGGCTCAATGTCATCACAAGTTTCTTGAAGAGGAAGGCAAAAGAAGGTCACAGTGATGCCATGTGAGGACTCAATCCACTGTTGCTGGCTTTGAAGGTGGAGGAAGAGGGCCACGAGCCAAGCTGTGAAAGTCAAGAAACAAATTATCCTTCTAGAGTTTCCAGAAGGGAACACAGCCCTGCCAACATCTTGATTTTAGCTCAATGGGACCTGTATCAGACTTCTGATCTACAGAACCATAATAAATTTGTGTTGTTTTAAGCCACTAAGTTTATGGTAATTTGTTACAGCAGCTACAAGGAACTCATACAGATGGGAACCAAGAATCCCTTTTAACCAAGCTGTGCAGGTAACTGATGGGCAGTCAAATTTGGGAACCCCAGACAACCTACCTTCCTCTTTCTCTCATGCTACTCATTCTTCTGATTCTCCTTGTACAATCCACTTGATGTGGCCTTTGGACTGTCTGTGGCCCTGAACCTTTACCTAGCCTCTCTGTGGCCTCTACATGTGGCCTCTACATATGCTAGTACACGCAGTGTCACATGCTTTCTACTCTCAAACCCCCGTTCACTCTCCTACGTTCCCACCACTGCTACAGGCATTACAACCCTAGAACACATCTGCCCGTGCACTTCTCCTGAGCATAGTAGGTAGTAGAGAAGTTAGTACTTACACACCCGATAGAGATCCCCTAGATGCATAAGGGTAGGAGAGGGCGCAGGACTCCCCAGTGAGTGGGAAAGATGCGGTAAGCTACCACTGGCAGCATGCCTGCTCTTAGGTAGAACACAGGCGAACACTCTGATCACTGATGTATTTAACGTAGGCATACGTTAAATGATGTATTTAACTGCTGGCATAATCATGAGGGCGAGGTTGTTGAGAGAAGCGCTAACTGAAGTAAAGCCACAAGCATGCAACTATCTGGCCCACCTTGCAGGCTGTCTGACCCGTGGAGGTGGGCGGAGGCGGGCACGGAGGGGACTTGTGCGTAGGGCACCAGCCACAGGTGACCGTGACCCAGCAAGCCGTTAGGAGGCGCATCAGGGCACAGGAGGGCACCCGAGGGGCTTCCAGACGACCCCAACTCCCGACTGCCCGCCGCCTCCCCTGCCCCGAGACCCCGTGTCCCGCTCCGCGCAGCAGCCTCAGAGCCGTGCCGGAACACCGGAAGGGCAGGCCCCAGCACTTCCGGGCAGTGAGGCTTCCTCCGAGGCTGATTGGTTGTTGCTTTGACCCGCCCACGCGCCGCGCGTTCTTCCTGTCGCCCGTGCACGCTGTCACTACAAACCGGCAGCATGGCGGACCCAGAAGCGTTGGGCTTCGAACACATGGGCCTCGACCCCCGGCTCCTGCAGGTACCAGGCGGACTGGGGAGCGGGCCGACGTGGCGGGCGGCGGCGGCAGGGCAGCGCGCCACCTGAACACCCGTCGTCTCTCCTAGGCCGTCACCGACCTGGGCTGGTCGCGTCCCACGCTGATCCAGGAAAAGGCTATCCCGCTGGCCTTGGAGGGGAAGGACCTGCTAGCGCGGGCCCGCACGGGCTCGGGGAAGACGGCTGCCTATGCCATTCCGATGCTGCAGCTGCTGCTCCACAGGAAGGCGGTGGGTGGCGGGAGGGGCCTCAAAGGCCGGGACGGGAGATGCGGGCGTCTGATTGCCCCTGTGCCCTCCTGGAAAGCCGTGTCGTCCTCCTCTCCCCGCCCCCGTCTGTCCCAAGAACCAGGCTTTCTTTTGGCCTCTTACTCGTAAAGGCTGGCCTGAGAGAACCTGGTGTTGTTGTGGCAGACGCTTTGGGCTGGAACTCAGATTATCTGGGTTCTAGTCCAGTTGCTGCTACCACCATTGTTTGTGTAATCTTGAGGAAATCACTTTTTCTTCTTTCTACTCTAAAAAGTGGGCACATCTCCTCCACCTACTTAGAGAATTACTGTGAAACTCCAGTGCCCTGATTGGTGCATTTTAAGTAACTTCACAACCATCAAGTAAGTTATTCTTTGTAAGAGTCAATGCCTGGGGAAAGAATCATTCCTTATGCATTTTGAGGTGGGTAGAAGTAAGTGAGGGGTTGATCAGAACCCAGCTAAATTGTTGTATTGCAGTCACAACAGTTGGGTCAGATTGCATGGAAGAAGTAGAGAGAAGCATCAGGTGGCCATTATGACACAAGCTGGCTGGCTGAAGCCTTTAATTTGTGCTCTTGCAGACAGGCCCTGCGGTAGAGCAGGCAGTGAGAGGCCTTGTCCTTGTGCCCACCAAGGAACTTGCCCGGCAGGCCCAGTCCATGATTCAGCAGCTGGCTACCTACTGTGCTCGAGACATCCGGGTGGCCAATGTCTCGGCTGCTGAAGACTCAGCTTCTCAGAGGTGGGTGAAACCAACAGGGCTGCAGGGGAATAAAGCTGCACAAAGATGTGGGATTGGGTTGTGTCAGCAACAAAGAGGGCTGGTGTGGGGTGAGGTCCCAAATGCTACCTTCTCCCCAATCCTGAAGTGTTGCCTACCTGCAGAGCTTTGCTGATGGAGAAGCCGGATGTGGTGGTGGGGACACCATCTCGCATATTAAACCACTTGCAGCAAGACAGCTTGAAACTGCGAGACTCCCTGGAGCTGTTGGTGGTGGATGAGGCTGATCTTCTTTTCTCCTTTGGCTTTGAGGAAGAACTCAAGAGTCTTCTCTGGTAAGGAAGAAGAGTGTGGCTCGTGGGGTGTGAGGGGTGACTAGGGCCTAGAGTGATGTGGCCAGAAGTTCAGCTGCCACACTTAGAGGCCCGTAGAGCTGGAGTCTGATGGAGCTCTATGTCGTTTTAGTCACTTACCTCGGATTTACCAGGCTTTTCTGATGTCAGCTACTTTTAATGAAGATGTACAAGCACTTAAGGAGTTGGTGCTACATAACCCGGTAAGGGACCCATTGAAGTGTCTGGAGCTGCTGACATGTGATACTCAAAGGAACCCTTTGGTGTTTCGGTTGGAACAATTCTTACTGGTTTAGCTTTCCCGGTTCTCAGGCCCTAGAAGCCAGTGGTTGTCACCCTCCCCCTTCCCCAATCCAAAGTCACTACATTGTTCCAGATGTCCCCTGGGGGGTTCAAACCAGTCTTCGCCAAAGGCCTGAGCAGGGACACCCAAGGGGCAGAAAGGCGACTTTGAGCAGCAGGGCTAAAATTCTAAGGCCAAAGTTCTCACCTTGTGTGAACTTGACTCTTCAGAAAGGTTGCTGCTGTAGGGCTTCCGTCCTCGGTACAGTCGGTTATTGTGTTCCTCTTTGTTCTGTGCCCCAAATGCTTTATGTGTAGTTTATGTCCTCTGTACCCCACAGCAGTAGGGTGCTTTGAATCCTTACATCACACAGTTGAGGGGCCCAGAGTGCCCTGCACTACCACGTTTGTGCTGTGGCTGGTGAGCCAGCGGCTGGCGGTAGCACTTCTGTCTTCTCTTCTTTCCTGACCACAGGCCTGTCATC